GGCCATGTCGAATTAGGCTAGGTGTGGATGGAAAATCGACGCTAATAGCTCCGGGAGCTATCCCACAGTGCACCACTCTGTTGACGCTCTGGACAGCAGTCCGAGCTCGGATGCTCTGACCAGCCACACAGGAAAAGCCCCGGGAAAATTTGAATTCCTTTTCCTGTCTGGGCAGTTTGAATCTCAGTTCCTGTTTGGACATCGTGGCGAGCTCAGCAGCAGTGGCAACGATGCAGAGCTCTCCAGCAGAGGTGACCGTGCAATCCCAGAATAGAAAGAGGGCCCCAGCATGGACTGATCGGGAAGTCTTGGATCTCATCGCTGTGTGGGGCGATGAGTCCGTGCTTTCAGAGCTGCGCTCCAAAAGAAGGAATGCTAAGATCTACGAGAAGATCTCTAAAGCCATGGCAGAGAGAGGCTACAGCCGGGATGCAACGCAGTGCCGCATGAAAATCAAGGAGCTGAGACAAGGCTACCAAAAAACCAAAGAGGCAAACGGACGCTCCGGATCCCAGCCCCACACATCCCGTTTCTACCAGGCACTGCATTCTATCCTAGGTGCGGCCGCCACCACTACCCCACCAGTGACCGTGGACTCTGAGGATGGGATATTGTCCGCGGCCGGTTCCTCGTCGGACATGTTAGCGGACGGGGAAGATGAAGAAGGAGATAAGGAGGACGAGGCAGTCGACAGCGCTGGCACTGCTGATTTCCCCGACAGCCAGGAGCTCTTCATCACCCTTACCGAGATCCCCTACCAACCGTCCCCATCCCTTACCCCGGACACAGAATCAGGGGAAGGATCAAGCAGTAAGTGCTGTAAACATGTAAACATTTATTTTTAACAGAACGGGAATATTTATAATATTAACAATGTGTTTTTACCAAAGTGCTTTAAACATGTAAAAAATTATCTGCTACAAAACTGGAATATTTACAATGGTAACAAAGGGTTTCTCATGATTTGTCTGCCTTAGGCTCTTCACAATTTAGTCCCAAGTATTTAAAATTTTTTTTACAATGTCCGGTACTTCATGATTCTGCGGCCCAAGACGCTCCACTCTATAGTCCCAGTGCACCTAGGCGAAAATCCGGTCAATATGGCCGGGGATTGAGGCGAAATCCTCATAGGAGAACTCCTCGTAGGTCTCATGGAGGTAGATTTCTAGCCTGTTCATCAGGTTCCTGGGTAGGGCGATCTTATTTGGCCCTCCGTGGTAGGAGACGTTTCCCCGCCACGACACAATATAGTACTCCGGGATCATTGCACGACATAGCATGGCGGCATATGGCCCAGGTTTCTGCATGCTTTCCCTAAGCATGCGTTCCTTCTGGCTGTCCGAGATCCTCTGAAGGGTGATGTCGCTCATGACGCCCTGCTTTGAATTAGGGAGGGGAATGTTAGTATTGGGACTGCTTTACAACCACGTGGTGGAGGGAGAGGGGCAGCATACAGGGATCTTTCCCTGGGACAGCCGCGAGGGGGTGGGACAGGGGCCGAGTTCATGCTTGCCTGATTGCTGGCAGCAGAGACTGGCATTGCTTTCAATGTGAAAGGAGGCCAGTGCTACTGCTGGAGTTTTAAGCAGCCACAAGTCTACGGCTTACCATGATTGCCCGCTACAGAAGTTCAGGTCTCCAGCCACGCTTCTCAGATCACTCCAAGACCACCGCAAGTCCACAGGCACTGAAGGCGAGGGCCGAAAATTCGACCTTGTCCTGAGTGCGCATGTGAGAGGTGCAGTGCATGGTCTTGTTCACAGAGAAAGACTAGGTTCTTTGTGCACAACTTAATTTATCTGTCTCAGGAATTCACTCCCTTTTTACAATTCACACAGACACATCTGCGACTGTCTCCCAACCCAGCCTGTCAGCACACTCCCAGAGGCTAGCGCAGATTAGGCGGAGGAAGAAGAAGATGCGTGAAGACATGTTCTCAGAACTAATGGGATGCTCCCGAGCCCAGGCAGCCCAGCAGACACAGTGGAGGGAGAACTTGTCACAAATGCACCGAGCAGTCATGGAACGGGAGGAGAGGTGGCGTCAGGAGGACCAACAGGCTACTGAAAAGCTGCTTGGACTAATGAGAGAGCAAACGGACACGCTCCGGCGCCTTGTGGATGTTCTGCAAGACCGCAGGCAGGAGGACAGAGCCCCGCTGCAGTCTATCTGTAACCGCCCTCCCCCGCCACCAAGTCCCACACCACCCTCACCCAAAGTCCAAAGAAGGAGGGGCGGCAAGGGCCGTTAAAACTTTCAGTCAACCCCTGCAGACTGCTCTAGCACTAGAAGGCTCTCATTCCCCAAAATTTGAAAAGTCCTTTCCTACCCACCTCACACAAGCCCCCGTCCAAGTTTCACCCCCCACGTTTCATGTGTGGTTCATAATAAAATATTTGTTTCTGTTCATTACTGTTTCCATCATGTTCTTTTGGAGGAGAGTCTGTCTGAAGGGGGGGAAGGGGCTTGGTAATTGGACAGGACAGTCACCTTTAGCAGGGTACAGAGGCGGGGTCAGGTCCAGCATCAGGACACACACACAGTGCAGTCACTGGTTACCCTGGTCAGTCTTGGAGGTGGTTTTCATGTTCTGGGGGGGGGGGGGGGTTGCTCTGTGACTTTGTGGCGGGGGAGGGCAGTTACAGATCTTATGCAGCGGTCCTTATCCTAGCTCACAGATCCACGCAGCAGGGGATATGTAACCCTACCCCCCCTGCCAGAAAGTTACATAGCCGACACATACACGCAGTCCCCCCCAGGAGTGCTGGCAGGCTCCATTGAAATAACCAGTGCACCAGTGCGGAGCCTGTCATTCCGGGAGTTTAGAAGCATCATTTGCATCAGAACACTAAACCCGCCCCCCGCCACAGTCTGCGTCCCCAGTTTAAAACATTCCCGCAAAAACAGCAATACAGACAACGGTGTTCATTAACAAAATAGAACTGATTTTATTTTTTGGGAAGGGGAAGGGGGTATGTAACTGGAGAGGATAGTCAAAATGAACTGGGTAAAGAAACGGGGGCAGGTTCAGCATCTGTGTCCACAAACTTAACAGTCACCGGTTAGCCTGCTCAGTCTGGAATCTTGCTTTCAAAGCCTCCCGGATGCACAGCGCGTCCCGCTGGGATCTTCTAATCGCCCGGCTGTCTGGCTGGGCGTAATCAGCAGCCAGGCTATTTGCCTCTACCTCCCACCCCGCCATAAAGGTCTCCCCCTTGCTCTCACAGAGATTGTGGAGCACACAGCAAGCTGCTATAACAATGGGGATATTGGTTTCGCTGAGATCACAGCGAGTGAGTAAGCTTCTCCATCTCCCTTTGAGACGGCCAAAAGCACACTCCACTACCATTCTGCACTTGCTCAGACGGTAGTTGAACAGTTCTTTTTCTGTGTCCAGGGCGCCAGTATAGGGCTTCATGAGCCAGGGCATTAGCGGGTAGGCTGGGTCCCCGAGGATGACTGTAGGCATCTCCACATCCCCAAGAGTTATTTTGTGGTCTGGGAAGTAAATACCTTCCTGCAGCCGTCTAAACAGACCAGAGTTCCTGAACACGCGAGCGTCATGAACCTTGCCCGGCCATCCGACGTTGATGTTTGTAAAACGTCCCCGATGGTCCACCAGTGCTTGCAGCACCATTGAAAAGTAGCCCTTTCTGTTGATGTACTGGCTGGCCTGGTGGTCCGGTCCCAGGATAGGGATGTGAGTCCCATCGATAGCCCCACCGCAGTTTGGGAATCCCATCGCGGCAAAGCCATCTATGATGACCTGCGCGTTTCCCAGGGTCACTACCTTTGAGAGCAGTACCTTAACGATTGCGTTGGCTACTTGCATGACAACAACCCCCACGGTAGATTTGCCCACACCAAAGTGGTTCGTGACTGACCGGTAGCTGTCCGGCATTGCAAGCTTCCAGAGGGCTATGGCCACTCGCTTCTGGACAGTCAGGGCTGCTCGCATCCGGGTGTCCTTGCGCTTCAGGGCAGGGGACAGCAACTCATAAAGTTCGAGGAAAGTCCCCTTCCGCATGCGAAAGTTTCGCAGCCACTGGGATTCATCCCAGACCTGCAGCACTATGCCGTCCCACCAGTCCGTGCTTGTTTCCCGGGCCCAGAATCGCCGTTCCACAATATCCACATGACCCATTGCCACCGTGATGTCCTGGGCGCTGGGGCTCGTGGTTTCTGACAGCTCTGTGCTACTCTCCGACTTCAGGCCATCACAGCGGTGTCGTAGCCTCCTCGCCTGATTTCTCTGCATCTGCCTCAGGGAAAGGTGTATGATAAGCTGCGAGGTGTTGAGAATGGCCACAACTGCAGCGATGGTTGCAGCGTGATCCATGATCGCAGTGCTGTGGCGTCCGCGCTGTCACTGACCAGAAAAGTGCGCAAACTGATTTCCCGCCGGCGCTTTCATGGAGGGAGGGAGGGCGTTAGTGACGGACGGATGACGACACATTTTTTTACCCAGAAGGCATTGGCGGCTCGACCCAGAATTCCGATGGGCAGCGGGGACTGCGGGAACTGTGGGATAGCTGCCCACAGTGCACCGCTTCCAATATCGACGCTCGCCCCGTTAGTGTGGACTCACAAAGTCGAATTACTCTCCTTAGTGTGGACACACACGTTCGACTTTGCAATATCGATTCCACATATTTGATTTAAGTAAAATCGAACTACCCTCGTAGTGTAGACATAAAATTGTCCTGTAAGTTGAAAGCCAGATTCTAAGGCTTATTATACTTCAAGTGTAGTGCTATGATTTTGTCCATCACATAGGTACAGTAACTATTTTATTCTTTTATCATTAAATAATTGTAGAAAAAAATTGTTCCACTTCGGCAATTTTAAGTGGAAAATCCTGGATAATTTTTTTCAGAAATCATGGCAAACTGATGTTGACAACAATGAGACTTGTTTGTGTTATCCTACTCTGAACGCTGGAAAAAACATAAGTAGGTAAACAAATAAAAATACCAACCACCACCACCTAGAAAACATACCAAATGAATAGGAACGTCAGGTTTTGCTAGAGTCTTCACACTACTGCCTAGCGTAACCAGGCTCTCTCGAAATTCTGAGCACAACCACTTGGATTGGTCAGCTCCCATTGATCCAATACTTGAAAACTGTCCTATCACCGGCCAAGATTCTTGTGCTGGTATTGGTGATGTATACTCTTTCAAAAGCTATTCGGGAAAATAAAAACATTTTGTTAGACTTCAACATGTCAAACTACATAACAAAAAGTTTTATAGACAGGTTTCAGTATTTAAGCTCGTTTGATGCTCTCTATAATTAAGCAGTTCATTTGCCACTAGTGAAAAAAGTTGGATCTATTCAAGAGTCCAATATAAAAAGCTACTCAACTAAAAAAAAATTTATTTTTTTTTCAAAACCATGATGCTCTCTTCCACAGGGAAAAGAGATTATGAATAGTTTTGTTCAAATGAGCTAAAACTGCCAGATACTTCCTGAAACATGGAGGCTGGGATTATCAGAAGAATCTAAGGAAATTAGTCACCTAAGTCTTTTGAAATCTGATGGATATTGGGCACCTAACTCCTTTAGCCTCCTTTGAAAATTCCCAGCCTCAGATGCCCAGGAGAGAGTGAAAGTGATACAGAGAGAAAGGAAAGAAGGTGTGTGTGCGCGTGCGTGCGGGGGGGGAGGGAGAACAAAAAAATTTCCTCTTCAAAATTCTTTCTAAGATATTCTTACTGAAAAGCTAATTAGGAAAATATGCAAAACCAAGTTCACAAGTATGTAAATGCCAATTAAATTATCTGAGAAAAGGTTAGACACAACAGAGGCTCTAACTGGCTTCATGATGAGAGCTGCATTCACACTCTAAAAAGGTGTGAGTTTTTCATTCCAACCATAAAATAAATATACATATTCAAACATTTACTTTACAAGGGGGATCTAACCTTTATAATTTTCTTGTCCAGTGAAAGGTTGAAAACTATCTGCAGTCTCTGACTTTCCATTATGTCATAATGAGGGAGCGTGTAGCTCAGATTTCAACGGGAGGTCAAAGAGCGGATACTTCTTTGAGTGGAAAATGAATGAGACAAAATGACACTTTTAGCAGGTCACTGACATTTGTGAAAGACAGGTAAAAAGTTTGGCAGAGCATGAAATTACCACATGCCAAAGAAGTGTTAGGTATAGAGTGCCTTCTCAACTTTGGAAATGTTCATATAACAGACATGAGGTATCTTTTTACAGTTCTGAATAAATCTGTACAGAACCATAAAAAATAGAGTATTTTACAGTAATCCCTAGTGGAAGGATATTCTATAGTAAAATATGTAATTTGACTTTTTCCTCGGTCATGCCTACTACTGACAACTTCTGCTATGCGCCTACTCAGGTAAGTATTCCTCTTCCACTAAAATGGCTTCTGATCTGCTATTTACCTACATATGTAACAAGTCTGTCATCATGATATACAGAGTCCATAATCTATGGTTTTGCCACTGCCTTTAGAAAATGTCATTCTGACAGCCATATATGTTGGAAGAAAGGAGCTAAGTAGCTTACAGTTAACATTAGAAAACTGTAATGAAGAGATGGAAAGATTAAAAATAACCAAAAGAAGTCCGCACAAAAGTTGTTTATGGAAAGAGAGAAGGAAAATAAGAAAGAAGAGAAAAAAGTGAATGTAACAATTCCAATACCTTTCTAAGTCTAAGGTGACCCCATTTTTCTTTTTGGTTGCCTTGGTATCGTCCTGGGGTTGATCCAAGCAGATATACTCTTAAAAACATTAAATATGTTAGTTCATTTAGGATTTGAAGTATTATCAACCAAATAAAAGAGAGGAGATAAAAATGAGTCGGGGACATAAGCCATTTCAAGCAAACTAGCATCCAGAATTGCAAGGTGAGGAACAGAAAGTGGAAGATAGAGTACTTTATTTTATAGACAAAGCCATCATCTTCCATTTAGCATGTAAATCTCAATCTGAATCTAAAAAACTGCACATTAGAGAGAAATTTACACAGACAATTTTCATTTACAAGATTCAACACTGATTTCAATTTAAGTAACTATCAGCATGGCCTGATATATAAGCATTACCAAAATACAGTATACATAAATACAACAGAATTAATAATACAGAGTAGCTGGATTGTATTCAGTGTATTATGTTACTATTGTCCATTTCTGATTGCTAGCCTGATAGCAAATGCCAGACTCTCCATATCATTTCTTTCTTTTCTCCCAAAGTTATATACAGATTTATTCTTTGCTTTTTAGCAGACAGTCTTTTACTATTGCTAATAAAAAATCCCTCTCTAAATTTTTTTGTACAGAAAATGTTTCTCTCTCCTCTAAAGTTGGGTTCTCTGCATTTCCAGCATAGTTTACAGAGGGTCTTCTAGCTTCCTCTTCCCCGCCCACACCCCAGTTGGTGCTTACAAATTCTACATTTAAATAAACTATTTTTCATTTAGTTCTGGGGTCCAGTGGCTCATCCTAAAATTACTATAAAAAGCCAAGGAACTTTGTACCCCTTAACGTACATTAACTGACAATATTAAATTGCATTTCTAGATTAGTTTTTCTGTTTACAATTCTTAAAATCCATATATCAGAAATCTCTTAAATAAAACCCTCCCAACTCTGTATAACCTACATTGAGTGCCTAGCCTCTTAAAAGAGCACAAAGGTATCCACATTAAAAGGTAGCCTGAGATGATACATACCTGGTCTCTGAAAGATCATGCTCTTGGATGATGTCAGCCCATTCCTTGAGAGTAGGGGAATTATAACTCGTCAAATAGTATATTAGGTCAGACTTAAAATTGGTTACAGATTCACCAGCAGAACCAGTGGCTCCATGCGGTAGCCGTGGATATAGGGGGCTTAGCCATATTCTAAAAAAGTAGGAAAGAAACACTAAGGCACTATATTTATTCACGTATTGTATATTACATTATATATATTCTAAGAAAAGTAGATCCAGCAGTCCAATCAGAATGCCAGATAGAAATAGTTTAATTAGGGGATGATTCTAGTCATTTTATTAATTGCTAATAATTACTAATAAAATGGCTTAATCAATTTGTCAAGCATGCACAGTAATCTCAGCTGACTCAGCTCACTCTTCAGATATAAATGGAAGGTTAATTAAGAGCACAATTTATTATTCTGTCAAAACAGAATGGCAAACGTATTATCCATTATAAATTTCTTGGAACACTAGCCTGCAATTACACTCCCTAGGTCACAGACTGTGCACCACTGACTATTTATCCCCATCCCGTAAATCTACAGTGCTACAGATATACAAGTGTTAAATAAATAATAGTCTGAATGCCAGTGTTTGGACTGACTAGTAATACTTGTATCCAGAATTGTCACTATAAATTGAAAATTGCTCTGCTGCAAAATAGATTTATCTACTAATTCATGAAATGACAGAGAGTTAAATGAACCAAAGCTAGAGGGCCTGAAAGGTCTTTATGCTTTGAAGAAATAAGGGGACAATCATTTGTCACTCCAAAATTTCTTTCAGCACAGAAGAAGTGGGGATACAAGAAAGGGGAGTGAGTCACAGTCACCTCCCAAAATCCTTTCTATTATGGAGAAGGGTGCGGATCTGCCACTATCCTCCTTCAAAGGAAGTCAGTAGTGTCCTCTTCAGAAGATTAGGGTATTAGGGTTCTAGATAGAAGACTATTGTTGCTGCCATGAGCCTCCTCACAACCCTAGATCTCCTGTTCAGGGTTCTCCAAAGCCTTATGAAGAGGATGGGAGAGTTTTTTCCTGAGAGTATTAGAAGATCAGACAACTTTTTGAAATTAAAGAGGCACAAGGAAGCTGTTAATGGGGGGAGAGGAAGAAGGGAGTAGGACAGAGGTTACCCTTTTAAAATTATAAATTCTGTGGGGGAGGGACAGTCTTTCCATGTGTTCACGTAGTACAATAGGCCCACCATCCTGATTTGGGGCCTTTGGGCACTACTGCTATATAAATAGTAAGTGGCATTCATAAAGATACAGATGCCGAAAATACCTTGCTGCTGTTGCTTAACCCTGCAGTACGAGTTCTCTCAAGGTTTCCAAAGGCAATTCATGATCATAGAAAGCAAAACATTATGCTGATATTCCAAAATAGTGAGAAATACTACTTTCAAATTCAGGAACAATAAAAATAGTTCTACCATATGTTGGCCGAAAAGACAGCACCTTTGCCATTAGTGATGTAGATGTAGCATAGATCTGCATTTGTGTGAACAGTGGTTTTATCACGTCTAACAATCTACTAGTTGCTTTTTTAACACATTTTCTCTTTTTTTAAAAACACATCTCTTGTCCCTCAGCAAGACTGTCATCCAAAATGTAATTTTCCTTCAGGGAAAGAGATTAGGGAAGATTATTTATAGCCAATTTCAACCACCACTACACAAACCAGAATTAAGCACATACATGTTTTTGTAAGAACAAAAAATCTGGGTCTTATTTTCTTCCCTATGGCAAATGGAAAAGCACCCTTATGAGTTAATCTGCATTCCGGGTAGACTGTAAGCCCACCATCGAGATATCCTTTCCTATTTCACATCACTGTAGCTATAGTAACCAAAGCCTTTGTTAAATTCTCAAAGGATATGTACTGTCTTCCATAATTGAAACATCTACAATCCCAATTGGACCCATCATACTGGGAATCCTGCATGTTGCAACAACTAGATACCAGAGTTAATACACAGAAATTGTGATGGACGAAGTTCTGATAAAGAAGAAATTATTCTTTTTTAAATGATTGAGAAATAGGGAAACTCCCTGGCACATAAATCACTGCTACCCTGCTTCAGGAGTTGAGGCACACTCCCCCTCATATGTTAGGCCCACTCCACTGGCCGTTGCACAATAAGTGAGGTCATGGCCCCTCCTCAGGGGTGAAAGTAACTTAAAGGACTTACTGGTACGCCGGAGTCCTGGGTGGGGGTGTGGCCTCAACCGGAAGGGGCGTGACCTCAACTGGAAGAGGCGGGGCCTTTCAAGATTTAAAAGCCCTGGGGCTCCGGCTGTGGCTGGGAGCCCCAGGGCCTTTAAATCACTCCGGAGCTACCAGCTGCAGAGGTGGCTGGGAGCCCCGGGGGTCCAGCAGCTGCGGAGCTCCGGGCCCTTTAAATCCCCGCATGAGCCCGGCTGCCGGAGCTCCAGTGGCGCTTTAAAGGGCTGGAGCCCTGGGCCCTTTAAATCACCACCATGGAAGCTGGTCCAGTACGGCATGGCGTACTGGCTCTTGCCGGTACGCCATACCGGACCATACCGGCTTACTTTCACCTCTGCCCCTCCTTCTCCCTATCTGTCTGTGCACTGCCAGAGGCACCTGGAGAACAGTCCTTAGGGTCCCCTGCATATACTGACTGTGACACGCCTTTGCACAGAGCAAGCAAGCAAGCAGAGGGGGAGATCTATTCTAGTCTATATACTTTTTTATAGTATGGTGATGAGGGCAATATTTGAGCATTGTCCAATAGTGCATTAAGCATACTCACTATATATGTCACGTTTGTCCTCTCATCCTCTTCCCAAAGGGAGAAGTATACACAGTCAAGTGTCTTGTTTTGGTAGAGGTTTGTTGACTGTTTTGGTTTTTTTAGTTTGTTAAATAAATATACCTATTGCTGTGTGTTTAAATTAGGGAATGCAAAGTCAAAGAAATATGCCCAGCATTTGGAGCAAGAAGTGGCGAGTTTGTGATGATTCTTAGTTCCTGGCAGAATCCATTGCATTGTCTTGGACCACCCCCAGAGAAGGTTCTGTTTCCCCGCACAGATGAGCTTTACTCTTATTGTTGAGAGTTCCCTCCCATACTACTCATCCTATAAGGCCAGCCAGCCATCTTTGATATGTTCTTAATGGTGATGAAATTTTAGTGAAGACATTTAGGGAATTAGTTGCCTCATCTGATATGGGGCTTTTTCAAAACACTAGGCACCTAAATACCTTTGAAAATCAGTTAAACACCTATAGTATTCAAAGAATCAAGTCCTAAGGAAATACAACTATTATCAATCAGTCATCTGGAAGCAACCACAAAGTGTAGTTTTATTCTGAAAAGAGACGCTCTAAAAATGGTATCATGGAATGTTTAATTGTATCTCAGTTGTTTCCAGATCAAATTTGGTCAGTTTACAAGTAAGAACATACAGTAGGCCAAGTATATATTTTTTTTAAACTTGGCTGCCTACATTTAGATGCCTCAATCTGGACATCTAAATACACTTCCCTATTTTCAGAGCAACTGCATCTTTCATGGAAGTCAATGGGGATGCACAAGTTTAGTGCACGTGATAGTCACTTCACTTGTTAGATGCCTAAATGAGGATTTGGGTTGCTAACTTTACACATCCAAATTTTAAAATTTTGACCATAGTTTTTCAAATCCCTCCATATTTGAAAGTCAGCCTGTGTTTTTCTATTCTCATGAATTAACATCAATAAAAGAGTGAGAGTCCAAATCATGTCCCCCGTTATGTGTCCATTGTGATTGCATAGGTAAATCCAGTTTCCCGAAATGCCATTGCAGAGCCACAGTAGTTAGTAAAAGTAAGACAACACCCCTCCAATCACACTACACACGAACACCTAGCAGGCCTTATTTATTTAACAGGAAAAGAGAAGAAAAAAAAAAGTCCATTCCTCATGTTCATTTTTCAAAAAAACAACAAGGAGTCCGGTGGCACCTTAAAGACTAACAGATTTATTTGGGCATAAGCTTTCGTGGGTGAAAAACCTCACTTCTTCAGATGCATGGAGTGAAAGTTACAGATGCAGGTTTTTCACCCACGAAAGCTTATGCCCAAATAAATCTGTTAGTCTTTAAGGTGCCACCAGACTCGTAATCTGTATCCACAAAAACAACAAACACTGCTACCCCCTGATACTTGACTTCATTTTTCAGGTCATCTTCAACACACAATACAGCATGAGACATGTAGCTTCCTTGTTTAACAACTGGTAGGTAGCAAAGCCTCTACTATAACAAAAAAATGGTTGCTTACCCCTGAGTTTTCTGGTCCCAATCATCATCAATAAGATTGGATGTGTGTATCACAACTCGAAGACCTTCTTCGTATAACAACAACATCATTTTCCTTAGAAATAAGTGCACACAATTCATGAAGTATCGTAGTAAGAAAATACAGAGCACAATAAAAATTCAAAAGATTGCTCTATTAAACCCCATTCCTCCAAATCATTTGGATAATTAACTGCACTATGAAGGACTGAAGCCTTTGTAAGGTCTAGGCAGCCTGACTCCTGAGCCTGTCATATAACTGACCTGGAAAATATAAAAAAAAGAGAGAGAGAGAGACCTGGATCCTGCAATATTATTTGAGAGAGAGAGAGAGAGAGAGAGAGAGAAAACACGAACACACACGTATATACATACGCATGCACACACACCCCTGCAGTGAAAACAGAGGTTTACAAGGGACCTCCATCTCTTCCTTAGCATAGTATCATGCAGTCTCTTAACTATTACAGAATATAACTCTAAACTCATGTAGCTGATACCATCTTCAGAAATTTTGCTTTAATCTTTCAACATTAGTGTTCAGCAAACTGGGATTAAAACACCCATTACTGAAAATCGATATTGTAGTTTCACTTGTGCTCATGACATAGTTAAGGCAATGTAGTTAGGGATCTCAACATAATGTAGTTTTGGGAAACTCATACACCAAATTCTTTACCCAGTGTGGCTGGACTATGAAATAAGCATTTTTACATTACAGTTTGTGTCAAAGTCAGCCTAACTTCTGTACCCAAAAAGATAATGGAGCAAATAATTAAGCATTCAATTTATAAACACCTAGAAGATAATAAGGTAATAAGTAACAGCATGGATTTGTCAAGAACAAATTGTGTCAAACCAACCTAATAGCTTTCTTTGACAGGATAACAAGCCTTGTGGATAGGGGGAAGCGGTAGATGTGGTATATCTTGACTTGAGTATAGCTTTTGATACTATCTTGCATGAGCCTCTCATAAACTAAGGAAATACAACCTAGATAGAGCTACACTTACAAAGTTTGTGGACGATACCAAGTTGGGAGGGTTGCAAGTGCTATGGAGAACAGGATTAAAATTCAAAATGATCTGGACAAACTGGAGAAATGGTCTGAAGGACAAATGCAAAGTACTCCACTTAGGAAGGAACAATCAGTTGCACACATACAAAAGGGGAAATGACTGCCTAGGGAGAAGCACTGCAGAAAGGGATCTGGGGGTCACAGTGGATCACAAGCTAAATATAAGTCCACAGTGTAACACCGTTGCAACAAAAGCAAACATCATTCTGGGATGTATTAGCAAGAGTGTTGTAAGCAAGCCACGAAAAGTAATTCTTCCGCTCTACTCCGCGCTGATTAGACATCAACTGAAGTTTTGTGTCCTGTTCTGGACACCACATTTCAGGAAAGATGTGGACAAATTGGAGAAAGTCCAGAGAAAAGCAACAAAAATGATTAAAGGTCTAGAAAACATGACCTATGAGGGAAGATTGAAAAAAACTGGGTTTAGTCTGGAGAGGAGAAGACTGGGAGGGAACATGATAACAGTTTTCAAGTACATAAAAGGTTGTTACAAAGAGAAGAGAGAAAAATTGTTCTCCTTAACCTCTGAGGATAGGATAAAAAGCAATGGGCTTAAATTGCAGCAAGGGCAGTTTAGGTTGGACATTAGGAAAAACTTCCTGTCAGGGTGGTTAAACTCTGACATAAAATTTCCCAGGGAGGTTGTGGAATCTCCATCACTGGAGATTTTTAGAAGCAGGTTAGACAAACACCTGTCAGGGATGGTCTAGATAATAATCATGCCATGAGTGCAGGGGACTGGACTATATGACCTCTCAAGATCCCTTCCAGTCGTACACTTCTATGAAAAAGTCTAATCTTTATAAGAATGATCAACTTAAAGTTAATGGCAGCTGCCAAAAATATTCTTCCAGCAACCTCTAAAACACAGTGGTTGACTCTGTGCAGCCTGAAGCCACAAAAGCAAACCAACAGAAACATACAAAGAAAAGATACACCCCCATGTTACAGTCTTCTCTATTTGTCTTGGAATGAGAAGGGATTTGTTATGTTCCAAGGTCTGCGATTAAAATATTTTCAGTTGCTGGGCCCACAGGAGACCGCAAAGCTTCATCTGCAATGGACTGGGTCTTTTGGGTAATGCACTTTTGAAAGGCAGTCAGAGGATGCACCTTTTAAAAACATTAGGGTCGAATAGAACTATAACATTTAATATGATCATTTAAAACAACTCAAAATACATTGGGGTGAACAAAATAAAATGCCGCATACAGAGAATACTTTAATGAAGATGAGATGTTCATGCTATGCTACACAATTTTATTCATACCATTTAATTAATTATAGACAAAAACATTTGAAGGCTTTTTTCTTTTTTTTTAAAAGGATGATAGTGGAGTGCCAGCTGTGCTATTGTTAAGGTTAAGAACTGCTTTCTGTTTAAATAATTAACAATTTTAAGAATAACCACTCATTCCTGCAGCCTAACTTCTTTGACTCAGGAACCGACAACAGCCTGTCTCATCCAGAAAGAGAAACTGACTGGAACAGTATGACTCTTTTGTTTGTTACAAGTACTTATTTCTTTCCCCCTCTCTTGCTTTCCCCTCCCTGGATAAACAAGAGGAAGGTCAGCTGCAGGCAAATTCATGAGGAAGTTCATTTAAGACATTCATCCTTTCAAACCCACTTTTTAGCTTCATTTCACCTTTTTATAAGTTTCCATGGAAATTTGTAACCAGTTTCAACAGGGCTAGGTGTTGGAATGTCTGAAGTCCAAGAAGTACCTTTTTCTATCTCAAACCCAGAAAGTGTCCAGTGACTAAGGAAGTTTTCTACCTTTGGCTTGCAGGTTGCAAACTCAATACTCTGCTACACCGAGTTGTAAAGAGTCCATTTGTGACACAGTTTTCCCATTTTTCGAAACTCCTATTTGGAGCAGTTACTTAAAAATCCAACCCTTTTGCTCCCAGTTTTGTTTTCTTTTTCTAAAGCAAACCTGTTTGATTCTCCTGGAACTTTTTTCTAAACCAAAGAATAGATAGAAAAAAAAGACATGTCAGCGATGTCCCAAAATTTCACTCTGCAAGAACTTTTTCTGACATGTCTAAAATCTAAGTTGTACAGGAATAAAACATGCCACTGGAAAACAGCAATGATATCAATATGGGGGGAAAGGAGAGGTCCCAAACCATATAGCAGTGGCCTTTCTACTCTGTTAAACTATATGTGATCATGGGACGATGTGTACTGACATAGCATCAAGGATTAAATTCATTCCAGTTCAGATAACCTGTAAACCAGCATAGACACCATTAAACACCAAGTTATTATTGCTTAAGTAGTGCTTAGGGTATTATGGGTACCATCTGCATTCAGATGAATTGCACCATAACTGTTTTGTTTCACTAACAGACAGAAAAGTTCTTAGCTTGTTTTATCAGTAACAATGCAGACAATGTTCAGGTTCCAATCTTGACAGTGTCACAAGTGTCATTTTTCAGCAATAAATCCTGTCAACCACAAGCATACTATAAAATGCAAGTTTCATCTTATATATATACATACACATCATTTAAAACTTGCCAAAGAGACATGAGCTTCCTTTTAAACTTGCTTTTGTAGTGAATGGCCATTAGTCCGGATTTGTAAAGATTTTTAAAGATACATGTTTGTATTGCACCATAAGAAAGAACTGTAACTGCAAAAGTGAGTGCAGCATATTTGAGTGGCCTGGTCTACTGAAATCTGTCCAAGATTGATTACAGAACAGCAGCCTTAATTCCTGGACTATGTGCAAATTTGATTATTTACAGTTTGCTGACTAAGCAATTATCCTTGTAATTTGCAAGTCCCCCTCTCTCTCACTTTCATTTTTTTTTTTAAACAGACAGCGTGTTTTAATCTCCTAGAATAATTTTTTTAAATCAAAGACTAGAAATCCATGACTTATTAAATGAGAAAAAGAACAGGCTAAAAACATTAAGTCTCCTTTATAGAGTTAGCTATGGCTGAGAAATGAAACAAAGCACTGTGACCCTTATAAATAGGGCCCAACCAAATTCGTGATGTGTTTTTCACAGCCATGGACTGTGAAATCTGATCTCCCCCATGATATCTGGCTATTGTAGGAAAGGGGCAGGGCTGGTGGTACCCCAGCTGGGAGTGCCTACCATGTGCCGGGATCCAAGGGACCACCCCCACGTATCCTGTGACCCTCACTTCTGCGCTGCTGCTGGCAGTAACCCTGGCTTTAGAGCTGGGCGCTGCCCAGCTCAGAAGGCAGTGCCGCCGCCAGCAGCAGAGCAGAAGGGTGGCAATCACACAACCCCCCCCACAACCTCCTTTTGGGTCAGGACCCCCATGGTTACAACACCACAACACTGTGAAATTTCAGCTGTAAACATTTGAAACTGACCATTTTTAAAATCCAATGACCATGAAATTGACCAAAATGGACTGTGAATTTGGTAGGGCCCCACTTATAAATATTTGTAAATACCACAGGGAACACTACATAGTTCTTTGAAACTTCAGTCTCTACCAATGTACAGACTAGCCTTTAAGTTCAAAAGCATATCTTTATAACCCAGCTTTCCCACCCTATGAATTGTTCTTTAAAGCATTACAGATAATGCATACATTTTATACAGCAGCCCCAGCATTTTCTATTATCTTTAAAACTGGACTTTCCTGCTTCACAGCAATTACTTACGTGTGGTGAGTTCCAAAGGCAATATCCAGCTTAGCCTAGAACAACAATGAAAATTAGGTAATTATTTCATTAAAAAAAACCAACATCCTGCTACAATTAAAACGAGAAAAGGTTGCAGCTTGCATTTTGCTTCAGTTTACTGCTCTCTAGTGGAGAAATCACAAAATTACAAGACAGCCACTTTTACCCCAAGCACCTGTAGATGCAATCTCCAATTGCTAAAAGTGAATAATCTTTACATATTACACCATTCTTGTGACTGTGAGACATTAGGCCCAAGCTCTTTTTGTATCATAAGAGAGGTGTTTCCAAAGACACTCAAAGTCTTCTGGGGTGTAACAGCTCTGTTGCAGGCAGCTAAAAATAAGGTGTATTTCATGGGGAGAGAGAAGTAAGACATACAGGAAACTACAGATGAAAGGTAATTCTAGATTTCTACACTGTTTATTTACACTGTCCAGGGAGAGGAGGGGCAACACCCTCAGACCACTACTTTGGGAATACAATATTTTAATTTGTTAATCACCGGCATCTAGTAGTTGCAATACCATAGGCCACACCTAATTTACATATTCAAATACATAACCATGTCTTTAGGAGATTTTTTTTTTTTTTTTAAGAAATGGCTTCCTTTTATTTCAGTAATAGGTTGAATACAATGCATGTTTATTGTGGAGGAGTCCACAGAAGTTGTAGGATTTATGATCAGGTACTGAATGACATTATATACAAACAAATCCTCTACTATACAACAACACACTACTAGGAAAATATAGTTGGTGTGGAGCAGTGGTTCCCAAACTTTAACAGCCTGTGAACCCCTTTCACTAGCATGTTAAGTCTCGCGAACCCCCTCTTAAAAATGAATATTTCCAGGGATTTTCTCCTTTACCTGAGTATAAATTATAAAAGCAGTGATCTTGGAAATATAAAATTTGTTTTTATGACATGCTTATTACACACTATTATTAATCATTACAGTATTTTATTACATTATGAAAACAGCAACACTCTTCCAAGATCTCACTTTCGTAGCTTGTATCACTTTGAATAAGTCTATTATAAGACAAGGCTCCTATGTTTCATCAAGGAGTATCAGATGTGAAACAGCATGAAGGTATTTAAGAAGCCAACACAAGAGTTCCTCCTACACAAGCATTCAGTCTTGAGCAGTCCAGGCAAACAGCGCACGTTACAACAAAGCTTAAACTTGTTCTTCATAATAATTTTAAAAACAATACTAGCTGCCTATTTAATTTTAAAAACAGCAAAAAATATTCACCTCCTTTTCCAGGGGCTCCGGGCTGCTGGCCCCATGCTGCCTGGGGTCCCTAGGGACAGCTCTGTCTGCCATTAGGGGATTTTCCCCCCCCCCCGAGACCCCCCTGTAACATTTCGCGAACCTCCAGGGGTTCATGAACCCCAGTTTGGGAACCACTGGTGTGGAGACAAATGGAACTCATATAAAATACCATTTGCCCTACAATATTATGATCTATGCTAGCATAGTCCTTTGTACTACAGTATTCCAGCAGAGGTTACAATATTGTCTTGTCAGAAGAAGGATGAGTTAAGAGTGAATTACCTGGCAAAGGCGAACATTTTCATATGGGTGTGCCTGTGCGTGCAGCTCAGCCTTGGATTCTCGCTTTTCACCATGTACTATTAATAATGGTTTTTTCCTTAAAACAAAATTAAAACGTGATGATTTTAATAAAAATGTTATCAGGTGGGTTAGCAGGTTACCCAGAGGCAGCAATCTACTGTAGCTACTCTTTCACGTAGCTACGATTTCTGGTTCCCGTCTCACACACTCTAGCAAAGAAAGGGAGCTATAATTTGCACTGCCAATCAATAACACCAAGGAATTAGTTTAAAGAAGTGATTAGGATATAAGCTTCTGAGAAAGAGGTGCTACAAACTCAGCTGGAAGAGAAGTGGGAGTGATTTAGAGATCATAAGGGAAACTGTTTCAGAAGGAAGGCTTCCAGCATTGTTGTAGCAGTGCTGGTCCCAGGATCTGAGAGAGACAAGGTGGGTGAAGTAATATCTTCCACTGGACCAACAACAGTTGGTGAAAGTGTCAAGCTTTCGAGCTACACAGAGCTCTGGGTGACCTGAAGAGGCACTCGATGAAAGAGACAAGCTACATGGACTTCTTCTTTAGGTCACCCAGAACTCTCTATAGCTCAAAAGCTTGTCTCTTTCACCAACAGAACTTGGTCCAATAAAACATTGCTCACTTTGTCTCTCTAAAAAGGAAGCAGAAGATGAAATCCTCTGGGAAGATCTTAGGATTCAGAAGTATTGAGAAAGGCTCCCTTAGGCAGTGATCTGCATAGCACTCCTGCTCAAAGTTCACCACAGCATTTTGACAATCCTATTCACTCCCTGATGCTCCACTCCATTGCATTTCTAGTGTGATGGAAACAGCAAAGTGACATTTAGGAGAATGATGCACACATTTTATTTAGAAGCCTACAGCACACAAAGATGAGGATGGAGTGGAATGACAGGGAGATATTAACAATAAATTGGTATTGTGATAGCACCCAGAGGTCTCTATCATTCTCGCTGCCCCCAAATGATGACCAGTCTGAAAAGACAAGAAACAAAGGAGGGGGGAATGAAAAAACAACATACCAACAAAAAAGTCCGTAGGGCAACAGGCACATTTTTTGTTAATTCCTCCCTTTAACTAACTAACTCACTCTCTCTCTCTCTCTCTCTCTCTCTCTCTCTCACACACACACACACACACACACACACACACACACACTTTAAGAAGGAGGAAAACAACAAGCCTGGTTCAAGACCCCCTTCTGCCTAAGGATCAGCTACTTCTCAGGTGAGTGCTCTAACCATTGGACGACAATATATTCTGATACTGGGCTCCCTCAATCTGTCCTGCTGAAGCTTCATTGTTAAAGAGTCATTGGAACAGGGGGACTAGCTCCTGGGTCTCCTACATCCTGGATGAGTGCTCTAACCATGAGGCTAGAGAGTGACTCCTGCTTGCTTGCTTGCTCTCTCTCATTCTCTGGCCCAAATGACTAATTATTTATCCAAAGTGGAAGAGCTTCAAACAGGAAAGAGTGAGGGAGCCCCACATCAGAATAATCCAGCAGTTAGAGCATTCACCTGAGAGGTGACAGATTCCTGTTCAAATCCCTTCTCCCCCTCAGGCCAAGGGAAAACTTGTCTCCCACAGCCCAGGTGCATACCCTCACCACTGGTCTAAAAGTTACAAGGGAAGGAGTGAGTTTCTCCCCGTCCCGGCTTCTTCCAAAAACAGCACAGGAGCCCAACTCAAGGAAAGAGAGTCTAAGTTGAGAATGGCAGAGATACATGCCTCCCTGCAGCCTGGACTTAGGTGTGGCTTAGCACACACCCTCTTGTTGGCATCTGCCATTGGCTAGCTTAGCAGCTCCTTTCCTAGCATATGCTGGGTTTTGTCAATTGCAGTCTAAGATGCCTCTCTCCACATTTATTCTATAGAGAGCTCAGATGCCAAACTCAGGATTTGTGAATCAGTGATTTTATAGGTGCCCAAAAGTTAGGTGCTAAGACACTCAGCATCACAACACTTAACTCCTTTTGTACAACCAGGCCATCCAGTTTTAGGGCTGAATGCTATTCATTTATTTGAGCCTGACTGTTAGTACGTTTCTCCCTGTTAGTTTGTATTTTTTAATCTTTTTACCAGCCACAGGAGTACCTTGTTGTGCAGCACACAGTGAACTTGTGGAACTCCTTACCTGAGGAGGTTGTGAAGGCTAGGACTATAACAGCGTTTAAAAGAGAACTGGATAAATTCATGGTGGTTAAGTCCATTAATGGCTATTAGCCAGGATGGGTAAGGAATGGTGTCCCTAGCCTCTGTTTGTCAGAGGATGGAGATGGATGGCAGGAGAGAGATCACTTGATCATTGCCTGTTAGGTTCACTCCCTCTGGGGCACCTGGCATTGGCCACTGTCGGTAGACAGGATACTGGGCTAGATGGACCTTTGGTCTGACCCGGTACGGCCGTTCTTATGTTCCTGCTTAGACCCTGTGTGTGTGTGTGTGTTAGTTAAAGGGAGGAATTAATAAAAAACGTGCCTGTTGCCACATGGACTATTTTGCTTGTATGTTGTTTTTCACTCCCCCTTCGTTTCTGGTCTGTTCAGACTGCTCATCATTTGGGGCAGCAACTATGCTTGCACAGCACCCACAGAATGACTGGACTCTGACCCCTGGGTACTATCACAATCCCAAATATTGTTACTATCTCCCTGCCACTCCACTCCATCCACAACTGTGTGTGCTGTAAGCGTGACCAGAGTCCTCCTACCAGATCAGGCCCTGCATGTGACTTTAGCATTCAAATGCCTATCTTACCCTGGTTTGTGAATTGTTGTAGGGCTTATAACACAGTATGGAATATGAGTGACCATTTATAACATTATTGATACCAATATTATAAAATTGCAATGAATCGTATATAATATATGCCATGTAAGGTATCAGTAGAAAAGATAGGGTTTGCCAAGTATGATAATCTTGTTTATATGTTTGTATCATCTTTCTATTGTGTGTTATAAATGTGTGATATATCTGTATCTCAAACCTGTGCTGTTTTTCTGGGTCACATTCCCAGATAGATTGGCATCAGCCCATCTAGCCAATTCCATGACCCATGAAGGACAATCAGCTATACAATGAACCCATTAAGAGAAGCCAGGGGCTTCACTTATGAGTCAGCAGGACATGTAGAGACATGCTGGTGACTAGGGGACTTCCACGTGCTGTAAATTTGTATTTGGGACAAAGAAAGTACAAGCCACATGGCAAAAGATATAAAAGGGAAGTTGCATCTTCTCCATTTTGTCTTCAATCCTGCTTCTTACCTCTGCAATTTCTCTACAAACTGAAGCACTGAACAAAGAAAAGGACTGACAGACTCATCCAAGCTTTGCAGTGTTCCAGAGGGACTCTACAAGCCAGCAGACTCATGAATGCTGCTAAGAACCTGATATATGGACTCTGAAGTTTTATGTATGTATCTGATCACTTTGACCATTTAACAACTCTCTTCTTGTTCTTTTATAATAAATTTTTCATTTTAGATACTAAAGGATTGGCTGGCAATGTGGTATTTTGGGTAAGATCCAAACTAATATTGATCCGGTAATGTGGCTGGCCCTTTGGGGATCAGAAGAACATTTTGTATAGTGAGCAGAGTTTTTAAATAACTTCTCACTTTACTGGACCTATGTGCTGACTGGGAGCCAGAGAACTGGAATAAAGGGGGCTGTGTGATTTCTTTTTTTCAGATTCTTGATAACCAGCGTGGGAGATCAGGAGCACAGTTTGTGACTGGTTGGTAAGTCTAACTTCAGTGTTAACCTCCAGGTTTTTTTGCAGCCTGCCCTGACCTTGGCATTTTTAGTGTGGGCTAACCTAGGCACCAGGGGTCAGAGGACTTAGGCAGAAGATAGGCTCCCAGGCACCTAGAGTGAGGCAGCAATGTGCGTGCTCAGAGACAGAAACACAGGCACCTAGAAAACTTTTACAGCAAAAACTGAGGTGCCACATGAGTTCAGCAGGAGTTTTGTGCACTGCAGTGAAGTTGAAACTGGGACTTAAGCACCTAAAACAGGGACCTAGCCACCTAACTCTTTTTGTGCATCCAGGCCTAAGTAATTTTCATACACTAAAACCATTATGATTTTAAAATAGTATTAATAAAGCATCCTTAAAAAGTCATACCTGAATTCCTGTGGATACTGTCTTATGAGCCATTCCACATCTATACAATAGTTAAACTTACAATGGAGAGAAAAGGAAAGGCCAGTTAAAAAAAAAAAAAAAAAAAGGGGGGGGGAAAGAAAAAGACTTCACCAAAGCAGCAACTACAGGGAGAAATATTTTGCACTCAAAATTACTGATGCGTACAGCAGTACTTATTATATTTTAGAGTACATTTCAAGTAGGGCTGGCAAACTATTAAAAAATAGCAATTAATCAAGAGATTAAAAATAATGATGAATCACAGTATTAATCACACTTAAACAATAATAGAATACCAATTTAAAATTATAAATATTTTGGAGTTTTTTCTACATTTTCAAATATATTGATTTCAGTTACAACACAGAATACAACGTGTACAGTGCTCACTTTATATTATTGTTTATTACAAATATTTGCACTGTAAAAAAGAAAAAAGAAATAGTATTTTTCAATTCACCTGTCCACTCAGTCCTATTTCTTGTTCAGCCAATCATTAAGACAAACAAGTTTGTTTACATTTATGGGAGATAATGCTGCTTGCTTCTTATTTACAATGTCACCTGAAAATGAGAACAGGTGTTTGCATGGCACTGTGGTAGCCGGCGTTGCAAGGTATTTACGTGCCAGATATGCTAATCATACATATGCCCCTTTATGCTTCGACTTGTAGGCTCTAAAGTTTTACATTGTTTTGTTTTTGAGTGCAGTTATGTGTAAAAAAATAAATTCTACATTTGTAAGTTGCATTTTCACAACTAAGACTGCACTACAGTACTTGTATAAGGTGAATTGAAAAATACTATTTCTTTTGTTCCACCTTTTTACAGTGGAATATTTGTAATAAAAATATAAAGTGAGCACTGTGTTCTGTGTTGTAATTGAAATCAATATATTTGAAAGCATAGAAAAATCCAAATATATCAAACCGTAATAGAATGCTAATTTAAATTTAACAGTGCAATTAATCGAGACTTTTTTAATCTAGTTAATTTGTTTTGTGTTAATCGCACGCATTAACTGCGATTGACAGCCCTAGTTTCAAGTAATACACAATTTTGTTAAGTTTTCATTTTCATTCATGTTTTCTGAAAAATGTACTACTTATAACAGAGTATGGAATAAATAACATTTATACAATGTAACAAGCAAAATACAATGACTTTGGGAACAATGCAAATATAAGATCTTTGTGGCAGGGCTTATCTTTTTCTTCTGTGTTTGTACAGTTCCTAGCACAATGGGATCCTGTTCATGACTGGGGCTCCTAAATATTGCTACATCAAACAAAACAAACAAAACAATATAACTCCTACAACATCTTGCTCTGCAGATTTGTGAACAGTTTACCCTCACACACAGAAAAGCAGATATAACACTATCCACTTTTCAATGCCTGTCCATTCCCAAAAGATACAGGAAGTTAAGGCCTTGTCTATCCTCGTGGTGGCATATAAGGTATGGGTAACTACACACCACAGTGAAAAGCAGGTTGCATCTCTACAGCAGCGTGTAGCTACACACGGCAGTGAAAGGCTCTGGCAGTGGGGAGGCAGCAGGGAAAGGCTCTGCTGGCAGGCAACCATCGGAGCCCTTCCCTGTGGTGGGCAACTATCGGAGCCCTTCCCCACTGTAAGAGTCTTTCACTGCAGTGGGGAAAGACTCCAGCAGCAGATAGACAGCTGGATACTACTCTGCTAAAAACAGGCTCATGGGAGGCACTGCTTGGGAGCGTAGAGAGCAGCGTAGGGTACATACACAAAAGATCTGGCGTGTCTGTACTCTATTCACCAAGGCAGTACTTCCCCATCTACACTGCTATTGATATCCATGCTTGCTGGGCATGCAGTGTCTGTACTCTAAACGCCACTGAAAGTGAAGACATAGCCTAAGAGGAAGTTTCTTAGGGCTGGTCCACACTTACCCCCCAAATCGAAGTAAGGTACGCAAATTCAGCTACGTGAATAACGTAGCTGAATTCGACATACCTTACTTCAACCTTACCGCGGTTCAGACGCGGTCCACACGCGGCAGGCAGGCTCCCCGTCGACTTCGCGGTACTCCTCTCGCTGAGCTGGAGTACCGCAGTCGACGGGGATCACTTCCTGGTTCGATTTATCGCGTCCAGACCAGACGCGATAAATCGAACTCGGAACTTCGATCCGCAGCCGTCGAACTACCGGGTAAGTGTAGACTAGCCCTTAGAATTAGCCTGAATTTTGAATGAACATTTCACTCAAACATAAAATGTTTCCTTCAGAAAGCATGTGGCTTTTTAAGTATTTTTCCATTTAGATATAACTGGTACAGTGGGAAGGGCCAGATTCTGATATTAGTTACACTGGATGAGTCTGGAGTAGCAGCCTTGAGGTCAATGGAATTATAGCAGCATAAACCATTGAAAGTGAGTTCAACATTTGGAAGGGAAAAAAAACAAAACAGCAAGACCTAAAACTCACCTGAGCAGAAGATACAAGAGTCCCAAAGAGAGGAGACAAAATATCTATTAAAAAAAAAAAAAAAAAAACCACTATTAACCACATCTTTATAAGTAAAATACTCATATACACTTTAGATCTTGTAACAATTTGTTAATTACTATTGCACATGGACCTGGTAAAATGATAGGGAGACTCTCTCATCTAGATTGCTGGCTTAAATGCAGTCCAGACAAGCAGCATCAGCGACTGTTTGTGAAATAATTTGGGGGTGACAATCCAGTTCTCATTGATTGTCTGTCTACAAAAAAAATAGCAAACTTGTTGGCAGAGAGCAATGGAGAATGAGCTACCCTGTCACCTCTGAAGGTGGGCCCCCCAGAACAGGTTTGAAGAATATCAGCAAGGTAACAAAGACATTTGTACTGATATTGTCCATACTATGCTTGTGCTGGACATGAAGGACTTGAGTCTCCTGACAACAATTCAGCATTTTCCACTTCCTTCATTTTTAGGGTGGGAGTGGGGAGAAGCAAATGCAGCTAGAGCACCGAGACAGCCTCTGATCCTGCAACTGGATTCTTATAGGTCAACTCCTACTGAAGTCAATGAGGCCACACAAGAGTCTTAATCCTTCAATAAGGCCCAAGACAGAAGCTTCATATTCTTGTGTACTAGAATTTATAATAGATTGCCCACTGATAATGCATAAACAAAATCTGAATGTTTAAAGCACTGAAAGATTTACTTCAAAATATAATCACATACATGCTTTCCCAAAATATTATCAGATGAAATATTTTAAGACTCTTCCCACAAAACCTGGTTTTGCAGATTAAATGCACAAAAACTATCCCCTAGTTCAGGGCTCAAGCAAGCAAGATGCAGAACACTTCTGAGAAAGGATGAAAGCCCTCAAGTCCCACTGAACTCAAAGAGATGTGAGAATCCTCAGCATCTTGATTTACTCCTGTAAAATCTTGCAGTAAGGATCCCTCAGACAACACATCAGCACTTTGGGCATACAACACTGGTGAGAATATTGGCTAAAGAACCAACTACACCCTGAGGCATGACTCTCTCCACTTAATTTCATTGTACACAAGTACAGGGCTACAAATATGTACACTCATATTGGTACAAGCACTTCCATGTTGCTAAAGGTCAGCCCACAAATCTCATACAGAAATAAATGCACACTGTCTGACTATTTTAATTTGTAATTCATCAGATTTCTATTTAATTAAATGCACACAGACTGTTAGTGTAACATTACTGCTGAAGTTCAAGATGTACTAAATATGTATTAAGAAATATGAAGTTATTTTTTGCACATCAGCTGTAACTGGCCTATTTATCTGGTATGGCATCTCTGAAGTGTCAATACTCCACACAGAAGGAGTTATTCAACCTTGGGTTGAACTCAGATTTCCAGTAATTTCTAGGACTGCCGATCCGAGTGCTTTAAAAATTCAGCAATAATCGCAAGTTTTGAGGGGTGTGTAATTTAGCACCTAGGAAATGCACTTTATTCCAGGGAGCCTCCAATGGTGGGAGCTCCTATAGGACCCTAATAATGAATTAAAATCCTTCTCCCTCAGCAGAACCCCAGAAGGCAGCAATGCAAGCACCATGCAACCTCTCAGGTAGATGCTTCCAGTGACACACAAGGGTGCACTCTAACCCAGAGGCTGTATTGGGAACTGGTACCAAAGGGTTATGGCCATAAAACACAGCTTATACCATCCATATATCACATACTTCCAAAAGAGGGATAACTGAATTTCATGACACATACACAAGAACACTTTCTTTAATACTCCCATTCTACTTGAAACACTGTTTCTGTAGGAATTAAACACTTACCTTTTATGTGAAGTGCTCCAGAGTTGTACTTAGACTTAATACCTTTGACTTTAGTGACAAAGAATCTGAAAGGGTTCCCTCCATTCAACAAATCCCAAGTGTCCTGGCCTTCATTTGCTACCTTATAATGTTTTTCTGGCTTTTGGCTCACTGGGAGCTCGTTATCTTCAAATCTACGTGAAGGCTGCTTTTTAGGTGCACTATATTTCTCCTCTTTGACTGCTTCCTTTTGTGCATGCTGTGGCTGGCCTTCAGATTCAGGCTCCTCATCACTACTTGAAAGGCACCAACCTAAACCTTCTTGGGAAGTTCTCTGGATTTTTGCTGGTGAAATTTCTATAGAAAAACTTCTATCATTAAATTTCACAGGGGAGGCTTTTCTCTTGTGACCAACTTTTCTGGCCTCTGAACATGGGTACTGTGATCCACTAGTTTTGCCATGTCCACTGTGAGACAATGAAGATGTAGATGGCTTTTCAGCATCATTATTTTCTTCTGTACTTTCATCACTGCTAGATACCGTCCATTTCCCATGCTCACTTTCTTGAGACATGTTTCTGCAAAAAATAAATAAACAAATAAACAAACAAACAAACACACCACAAAAACTGTGCTTTATGCCTACTGTACTTCTCACACAGGCATTTTCCTTGACAGAGCTTATTTACTCATTCACCATCCTGAACTTTCACCCTGACTTTGAGATTTTCTTATTTAAGGGGTCATCCAGAGAGCTTCTCACTTAGAAACCCTCCAAAAGCATGCAAGACTTAGGTTATGTCTACATATAAACTGCTACAGTGGAGTCACTCACTACAGCGACAGGAGGAGTTCTCCAATCACTGTAGTTAATCCACCTCCCCAAGAGGCAATAGCTAGGTCTACAGAAGACAGAATATTCAGAATTCTTCAGTTGACCTAGTGCTGTCTGCGCTGGAGATTAGGTTGGTTTAACTACAGAGCTCGGGGTATGGATTTTTCACACCCCTGAACAATGTAATGTAGCTGGTTTGACCTAACTTTTTAGGATAGCTCTGGCCTTAAATCAATAATTTATTTTAAGCCTGGGAGACAGACTGCAACACCTACTGACCTTTGCAATGGGAGGGCTCCTCAAAACGATAGGCTACTAACCAATGGGGGAAACCACTATTAAAAAAACAAGCTTGGGAAAAGAAAACTTTACTCAAAAGGCTGAAGTAGGAAAAGGGATTGAGGTTCAGGTTAGTTAGTTTCATAATCAGTTCAGCTACTATCCTTAGTATACTGCACATGTAACAGCAGCCAGCAGGAAGTGAAAGGCAACTAGTTTATTAATCCAGAAGTCAAATAGACAAATGAAAGACCTGCATCAAAAGACAAACTGCAAGGCCAATAATAGCCCCTAATCTAGAGCCATGATGCCTATAGGAAATCAGCCAGTAACTAATAGCTGGATTGAGATAGCTGGCATTTATTTGTAAAGAGAAAAAAAAGGTACAGTACATATAAATTGTATCTATTAGACTGTATCCCTCTTATATGTCACTTTCTGAATTGGCTCTCATTTTGCAAAGACTTGTACACATATTTAACTTGGCGGAGCTATTTGTATGTAAAGTTAAGCATGTATATGCGTTAGGGCTTTAGGGTTTGTCTACACATGGAGTTATTCCAGAACAACATTCCATGTGGACACATTTATTCTGAAATAAGAACGCCTTGCTCCTGTTTAGTGTAATCCACTTTGAAAATCTCATGTGTGTCTATATATGGTGTCCTTCCAGACCAGCTCCATGTAACACCTATTATGCTCTAAAGTCAAATCTGACTTCGACCCAATTAACTGTCACGTGCAGACAAACAAACCCTTAGACTGAAAGCGCTTCGGGGGGAGAATCCTGCCTTTGTCCAGCACCCAGCTCAACACGGCCCTGGTCCCGAGGGGAGCTACAGCCAGACCCCCCAGGCCCAGCCCGACACAGGGAGCCCGCAGGACCATCCACCGCAGAGAGGCACAGTCCCGTGCCCCCCACCCGCCTGTGCACGCCGCGGCGCTGAGCCACACGGCCAGTAGCGCCCAGGGCTCCCGACATCCCACGAAGCCGCCACCAGGAGCGAGGATTGCTCCTGCCACCCGCCAGGGGCAGTGGGTGCTTGAGGGCCGCTGCACCTGGTGGTCCCGAGCTCCTGCCCCCCCGCCCCCGCAGGCCGGGCCTGCCCCCGCAGCGAGGGACGCACACAGCCCCGCCCAGATTCCTCACGCACCTGCGCCGCTCCGCCTCCGCGGGCTCAGGGACGTTGCTCACCAGAGCTCCGGCACTGACTGAACCGTCCCGCGCAGAGCCGGGCCCCACCTCTTCCCATTCCGGGGCGGGCTCCCTCCGGGTCCTATCACCCGTCTGATTCGCGTGGGTCCCTGACGGAGGGGAGGGGGCGGGGCCTTGGAAAGCCGGGGGCGGGACCATCCCAACCTCCTCAGCCAATGGGCCTTCCCCGCGCTCCGCACCAATAGCAGGCGGCGTTGTGGTTGCCCCGCGGAAGTTAAGCGAGGCGAGCGGGTTACTATAACGGAGGAGAGGGGTAAGGACAGCTGGGTCATGTGCGCAGCCCCCAGCCGAGCGGATAGCGGCAGGTCGAGCGGGGAGCGCTACGTGCGGGTAGGTACCGGTCCGGCGCGCCCCGCGAGGGGGCGGGATCCCCCGTACTCAGGGCGCCGAGTGCGGCTGCAGGCGCGGGGCCGATTGGTTTGTAGGATCTGCGGGGGAGGTGGGTCGCGGTGGGGACACCTGGGCCCGCTCAGGTGGACCCAGAAGCGGCCCGACACTGACCGGGCTCAGCAGGGGAGCGGCCGACTGTTCCCAGGCAGTCACCCGGGCAGCTCCGTGGGGCTCCGGCGCAGGGGGCGCAGCGTGGGCTGCGGGCGGCCCTCAGCTCCACAGGCGCGTTGTGTCTGTTTCACTGGGACGGGGCTCGTCCTTGATCCCAGTCTCCCCCAGGCCTCTGAAACCCCTCCGAGCTAGACGTGCTGGAAGGCGGCAGAGAGCTGGTGCTACAGCGTGGTGGTGGGGAGTAAATCCTGCTTCGCACCCACCGCTGGCCGGGACACCGGCGTCCGCATGAGCCGCAGGTTTCCTACTCTTCTGAGGCTTTGACGAACCGTCCTGTTGTCTCCCACGGACTTGAAGCAGCGCAATACGCACCCCAGAGTGTCCCGAATAAACCTAGTAACGCTTCATTTGGCCTTGATGCTGGTTCAGAACAGGAGTAGTATTTGCATAATCATTCCTTCAGTTCATTATTAATTACTGCATGAAGTGCTCTGCTAATGAGGATAGTTGTACGACGGTTTAGAGGGAAGAGTGGGAGAAAAAGGGGTTTAAATTAATCAAATTAAGAACACAGCCTACATCAAAACTGGCTCAGCCTAACAAAATGAAGTGACATAGGATTTGATTCCCTCTGTATTCTAATTTACTACAAGCCCATGACTACAGCTAACCAAGAATGTAATTGCAAGCCCCTGTTATCAGAATGCTGATGAAATAGGCAAGTTACACTAAGTAACCTGATAATGAAAGGCATGAACAAATAGAAATTTCATTGGCACATTTTTTTCGTAAAGCCCTTAGAGTGATAGACAGCAGCCTTGTGTCTTTTTTTTTTTTCTTTGTCCTTTTACATTCCCACCTGGAATAGCTCATAAATATACCCCCCCAATATTACCAAAATAAAAGTGGAGCCCATGTTGTGGTTTGTTCTCAGCACTTATGGGAGAAAATCCCTCATTAGAATTGTATGATTCAAAATATGTTATTTACGTTCGCCTTCCTCTTAATACTACATGTGTGGAAAATGCACTGGGTTTTTTTCTGAAATGCTAGTTTCTCTGAAAAGATTTGCTCCTTCCTGTTTATGAACCATGGCCGTTCCCCAGCCATTTGTTCATGCTGTGGCCTAAACCTGCATTGTGACTTAAGTGGAAGTTAAAGATGCTCAGTACTTTAAAGAGAAGCTCAAAGCTTCATAGGAGCAGGTCTTTTGTGTAAGTTGGTTTCCAGGAATCTGTTCAAAATGTTAGGCCTGGTACGTTACACAGTTAGGTTTACGTAAGGTGCCTTGTATCAACCTAGCTGCGGAAGGGTCTTCACTTAAATTTGGCTCCTGCTAATGTAAGTGCCTCTCTATGCTGATTTAGTAACACCACCTCCCTGAGTGGCATAGAGTCACACTCAATGTAATTAGGTTGGTGTAGTGTCAGTGCAGACACTGTGTTGCTTATGTCGACTGTTACTGGCCTTCAGGAGCCATCCGACAATGCCCAAAATTGACAATACAATAGGTACAAGTACTCCTGGCTGGTGAGGATGTGCACTGCTGACACAACGAGCCAAGTGTGTGCACACTCAAGCAATTTAATAATTGTGGTGGCTGTATGGTGACATAAGTTAGGTCGACATAATTTTGTAGTGTAGACATGGCCTTAGACTCCCACAAGGTCCTAAATTTTGCCAGATATTTATGCACAGTTAAAATGAAAAGAATATAAACCACACTAATAAGAAAACATTTTTGATGTAGTGAATTAATAACAATTTACTAACTGGAAAAAAGTTTTTATATTTAAAGACATCAAGCTGAAATTTAGGGTTGTGGGTTTTTGTTTTGTTTTTTAATGAGCTAAAAGCAGTAGTATTCCACTGGCCATGAGTCACCTTGTGAGATAAGGCGTGCAAAACATTTTCAGACAGCAATATGATTTTTAAGTTGCAGGTTTTAAATGTGATATCTTTTTCCAAATAAGTATTTGTTTATTTCTCACACACACTTTTAATAAGTAATAACGGTAACTTCAGGTCAGGTGTCCTGTTGTTTCTTAATGGAAATCTATTTACTTTCTTTAGGTTTTTGAAGCATGTGATGAAGATAAAAAAGGATATTTAAGCAGAGAGGACTTTAAGGTCGCTGTAGTGATGCTATTTGGTTACAAACCCTCAAAGGTATGGCTTATTTTTTTTCTCCATCATGTCTTAAAGACTACGTTTATAAGGATATCTCACTATTGAGAGCACCGTATGCAAAGTAGTCTAATAGATCCAGTTGGGCAGAGCTGTTACAATTCATGACATTAACAGAAGTATAGTCTGATTCTTAGAAGTCAAGTGTCAGCTGTATGTGTGTATTTAAAAACAAAAGGCCCAAGCTATTAATTTTCATGTTGTGAATATTGTCACTATCCACATTAATTTTGCAAAATCCTGCTCTGAGGGTGTACAAGGTGGGTGGGAAAAGAGGGTGTAGTGAGCCCTGCTTAGTTTAAAGTGTGATATGAGAGCCAAATGATTGTGTATTAATATACACACAGGCCATTTGCTTATTTCATGATGCTCTTTGAGAAAAAATTACTATCTGTTACAATAAGTAAACACACATTTGTGGAGTCACTTACGGCTCCAAGAAGTGCAAAATGTACTTCTTCAGCGTTGCCTTTTCTGACATATAAACACAGCAGCATGCACTTCGTTTGTTTGTTTTAAAGCCTACCAAAATACTACGCAACATACGCATTTTTTTGTCTCGGGAGAGGATGAGAGAGAGAATAAAATACATGTGCAAAATGTTAGTCTTGTTGCTTCTTACATTATTGGAATGCAGTCATATACTTTGGGGATGGGAATGGTACCTGAACAGAATAGATAGAGCATGTGTAAAAGATTATACAATCATGGTGTTGTATGTAATCACTAAATAAATGTATCTGTGTCCATCACCATGTTACTATCCAGACGCATGTTTACACATGTAGCTGGTTAATCTTGCGTAGTGTCCACTTAATAAGGAAATAAAGTACTGTGCACTATGTTAATTTCTCAACCAGCTTCTCCTCTCCCCTTCTCCCAATTTATTAAAGCAATCACTCTTCATGGAGGCCTGCATGTGCTGCAAGCTAACTTCAAACCACTTGTCACTCATTTAAGTGCTTAAAAAGGTATCCTAAAAATTTTAGTGTTATTTTCCCCCCATGATCAGATTACTTAAAAATAACAGAATAGAATTTTACCAAACTTTACAAAAATATTCTCCTCAGCTGGCTTGCAGCGTTTGGGAGGCAGGGGAGGGAGGGGGAGCCTGCACGCCAAGTCCTCGCTCCTTCCCCCTCCCTCCTGCTTCCAAAACGCCGCAAGCCAGCTGATTGCCCCGGGCAGGAGGGAGGGGGGAGGAGCAAGGACTCAGTGCGCAGATTCCCCCTGCTGCCCGAACGCGGCAAGCCAGCTGATTGCCGCCGGCAGGAGGGAGGGGGAGCCTGCGCGCTGAGTCCTTGCTCCTCCTCCCTCCCTCCTGTCCGGGGCAATCAGCTGGCTTGCCACGTTCGGGATGCAGGGGAGGGAGGGGGAGCCTGCGTGCCAAGTCCTCGCTCTTCCCTCCAAAATGCCGCAAGCCAGCTGATTGCTGCCGGCAGGGGGAAGAAGGGGGAAGGCACTGATCCTCAGAGTCTGCCGGCGGGCGGGAGGCGCTGCGGGGGAGGGGGCTGTAGGGAGGCTGCCAGCTGTGGAGAAAGCAGGCAGCCGAACAACGTAACAGTGGAGCATTGCACAACTTTAAATGAGTATGCTCCCTAATTGATCAGCAACGAAACAACGTTAAGCGGGACGACTTTAAGTGAGGAGTTACTGTAAGTCCATTTGAGTTCAGTTAAGCATATATTTATTTTTGAAAGATTGGGGACTTAGTTAGAATTGGTGTACTCTTTGGCCTTGTCTACACTACATAGTTTTGTTGACAAAGTCAGTTTTTGTCGTCAAAATAGTGGCGGTTTACACACTACAATGCTCCTCCTGCCAATTTAACTCTCCTGATATGCTGACAAAATAAAACCACCTCAGTGAGAGGTGCAGAGCTTTTTGCAGCAAAGTCAGATTGACACAGCATCAGTGTAGACACTGTGCTTGCTTATGTCACCATAAATGGCCTCTAAGAGGTGTCCAA